GATGAAAGATGCTCGTTCCTGAACGGACGTCGCAAGTCTAGACGGACAAAGCAGACGATTACAACCACTACTACTATGAGAGAGTGGTAGCGCCTTATTCTGGCCTGTATACAACCACACTGAAAAAAATAGAAACTGCTAGCCTCCCCATTTTTTGTTTCATTGGCGCATGGCAAATGGAAACGAAATGGTTTCGACGAAAAAAGCCTCCACCGCATTTTTCAAATTTCAAAATTCTCCGCGCTCTCGCTTTTTCGCTCTTCCCGGGAATTTGCTTTTCCCAGAAATTTTTTTTTGAATTTTTAAATTTCAAAATTTTTCGCGCTTTCGCTTTTTCGATCTTCCCGGGAATTTACTTTTCCCAGAAATTTTTTTTGAATTTTTAAATTTCAAAATTTTCGCGCTTTTAATCTCCCGGGAATTATTTTTTCCAAGGAACTTTATATAAAACTCACGATAAATTAGAAATTTAAAAAAAAATTTATTATTTTTTTCGATTATTAAAAAAATAAAAAATAAAAAAAAAATTAATAAATGATGATTATTTTTACAAAATGATATTACCTTTATCCAAAAATGATATAAGGATTTGTAATGAATGAAAGAAATGATGATGATTATTTTTACAAAATGATTTTACCTTTATCAAACAATGATATAAGGATTTGTAATGAATGAAAGAAATGATGATGATTATTTTTACAAAATGATTTTACCTTTATCCAAAAATGATATAAGGATTTGTAATGAATGAAAGAAATGATGATGATTATTTTTACAAAATGATTTTACCTTTATCCAAAAATGATATAAGGATTTGTAATGAATGAAAGAAATGATGATGATGAATGAAGAATGATGATGGTGATGCTAAAATTCAAATAGTTAAAAATTTGTGGAATTCGGAAAAATTCAACTTACGTTTATTTTTTGACGATGTAATGGATATAATATCACTGTTCAAATATGAACGCATTGTTGCTCGACAAATCAACCAACGACCGGAATTATCATCGGTCTTTTTCACGTGTCCGGACCGAAGGTGAACTCATCCGTTTGGGAGGTCACTTCAAAAACCACTCCCGAAACATAGATGGTACCTTGGCCACTATAAAATTTCGATAGTGATGGCGCTATCAACTTAAAAAATTGAAATAGTTAAAAATTTGTGGAATTCGGAAAAATTCAACTTACATTTATTTTTTGATGACATAATTGATATAATACTGCCCACTTTGTTCAAATATGAACGAATTGTTGTGCGACAGGTCATCGACCGGAATTGACATCGGTCCTTTACACGTGCCCGGGCCGAAGGTGAACTCATCCGTTTGGGAGGTCACTTCAAAAACCACTCCCGAAACATAGATGGTACCTTGGCCACTATAGAATTTCGATGGTAGCAAGAAGTTGCATCCGCTCCCCATTATGGCTCGAACGATGTTACTTCGAAGCGGGAACGGATGCAACTTCTTTGGTAGGCTTGGCGATTCGAAAGGTATATCTTGGCCAGAAGTACCCCAGAATTTCTTGATGAACAAGGACTCCTGGTGCAGACGTGCCAAAGAAAACGCAACGTTCCTGAAATTCTTACTGTGTTTGTAATGCTGTTTCAAGGAAGCGTGCTGCCTTTCGAATCGTGCGGTGGAATATTTGAACAATTCGCCATAATAAAGCCACAAATCCAGATAATGAGTCAGGAAGTGTGCTTTTGGCGTTCGGAGATTGTTTGCCCAGCAAAACTGAATAGAGGATTATTTATTTAATTATTACAAATTTAAAACATAAATTTTATAGAAATACTTGCCTGAGCAAATTCCGAAATCGCTGTCTGCACTTTGTTCAAATCCTCAATTTTCGATCTTGAAAATATCGAAAAAATCAAGCAACGCAGATTGCGATATGCTGCGGCTTGATTGCTTCCATCCGTCATCAATGATGGGAACATTTCCACTAGACGGCAGAAAAACTCAAATTTCTGAGATAAAAAAGAATAAGTAAAGTTTTTTTAATTATTTAATAAACTCACCTGCAACGCCTTTCCCATCACGGTGAAATTCGGATCTATCCCAACTGCATAGTTGACCCATTTGATTTTTTTGATCAACTTCATCAAATCTCCCTTCCTAACTTTCAAACCAACTAAAATCAGTTGGATGATATCGGGTAAGATACCCTCCAAGATATCATGAAAGAGGTCGGGAGGGGCCAACTTGAATAGATTGCAGTTTAATATGGTGAATATGGTCTCCCTACCGATTCCGAACTTTTCTGGATTATGCCGAGCATCGGCATTGTTGCTGGTATGGATGTGCAATGAATGTCCAGCAATTGGCCGATCTTGAAGAACTTGCTTAGTGGCGCCGCACATCCGGCAGACGAAATAATTTGCAAACGACTGTTTGAACCCCAACAACTCGTTTACGCCTAAATTATCGCCTATCACGAAAGCCAAGCGAACTTTCAAGGTGATACCACTGTCTTCGATGAATAAACCGCAACGCTGAAATAAAAATTATTAGATGAAAACTTATAAAAAAATTTCTGAAAGACAAACCTCCAGCTTTAGCAAGTCCTTAATCAATGGAGAAAGAATTTCATCCATTGATGTTTGTTTGATGGTTTTTCGGTTGCAAATGAGCAGAGCCGGGATGTCCTCGGACTTTGTCCGGTATCGATCGCCATTATCCACATCCATATACAAAGCGAATATTTTGTGATTTCTTCGGCCACTTCCGATGGGATTTGTAAATCCGAAATCATCGCCGTATAGGATGATCCGAATGGCATTTACCATGTCGCTTTCGCGGACATACTGTGACACATCCTCCGACCGTTCGGTCGTCACATTGGTAATGAGTTGCTCATTCACAAAATGGATTTTTATTATCTCGGAAACCGATGAATAATAAAACGGATGTTGGCTAGAATCTGCCAAATTTTAAATATCAAATTGTAAATTAACTTAAACAATTGAATCATTATATCAAACCTTCAGAAGAAACAGCTTTGCATTCCTTTGGCGATATGAATCCGCTGTTCATACGAATGAATTTCCGCTGCAGGAACATGGATTTAGAGAACTGGATTCGCAAATCATTTAGATGTCGATCATCAGGATGGTCGGCCATGGCAATTGATATTCCAAAAATATCATCGATTTTTGTTCCCTTTACTCGCCGCTGGACCAGTTGCCTGGCGGAGCTCATAAATCGTTCCCGATCTTCGGGAGCCAATCGTTCGACGGTTTCGAAAAATCGGCTTGATTCACCGCTTCGATTTACTTCAGTATCATCATCATCATCATCATCATCATCGAAGTTAATATCATCATCATCTTCATCATCATCATCAATTTGAAATCGGATAGTTGTTGAACCATCATTAGCGTCATCATCGTCATCATCATCGTCATCATCGTCATCACCATCAATAAGATTGACCATTTGTTGATTATCATCAGTAAGATTGGCCATTTGTTGATCACCATCAGTAATATTGGCCATTTGTTGATCACCATCAGTAATATTGGCCATTTGTTGATCACCATCAGTAATATTGGCCATTTGTTGATCACCATCATCATCATCATTAATAAGATCGACCATCGGAGATAAATCCAGTTCACTTGACGGACCGGGAACATCCAAACTAATAAATTTGAATAATCATTAAGCACGGTAATGATAGATACGAAACACTTACGATTGGGCCATTCGTTCTGACCGATTTTGTTTTCTCTGAAAAGCAATAAAAAGTTTTTTGAACGTAAGGATTACAAACGTACTCACCAAGGAACGAAAGGATATCTTGGCAGATATAGCTTTAGCAAAGGCGAATCGGTCGCCGAGTCTTACGGGTATTTCACCTGCTCTACCGGCTAACACCTGTTCCATATAGGTCATCATAAGTTTCCACCTCTCCTCCCCCATCGAAAAATCGAAAAACTTCTGATTCCCGAATAGCTCTTGGAGCATATCCATCGCCACAATCCAAGATTCAATTGTGCGAACTGTTGATTGATATAGTTTAAAAAAGAATATTTGAGCTAACATACTTACTGTTGGCACTTTTTTTTCTAATTTTAGCGACTATTGCATCAAATTTTTGAAGAATTCTCTTCCGGTCCATTTTTAATATTAAATTGTGGAAATTTCGAAAAAAATTAAGAATACAATGAAAAAATTGACAAAAGTTTGCTGTTTGCTGCTGTTGCTACTGTGTTTGATGATCGAATGAATTGTGTGTGAATTTTGTTTTTTATTGTATGAATCAATTCATAACCAATCGGTTAGAATTTTAGCACATGTGTTTTAAATTTATGTCTTGTGTTTGTGTGTCAACAATTAACGTGTTAATTGATGAGAATTGTCATCGATATGACATATATGTACCCTTTACCCTTTGAAAACACATATGGTTTTGTTTTACAATCCATTTCTTGTTCAATGGAATTTCTAACTTTTCCACGATGATCATTTTACATTAATTTAGAATAAGCAAATTTGCAAAAAATTTTCTATGTTAAATTCGGACTTGTAAAATTTTTTCAAAAAATTGAAAAAATTTTCTATGTTAAATTCTGACTTAGAAAATTTTTTCAATTTTTTGAAAATTTTTTCATTTTTTTGAAATTTTTTTCCATGTTAAATTCTGACTTAGAAAATTTTTTCAATTTTTTGAAAATTTTTTCATTTTTTTGAAATTTTTTTCCATGTTAAATTCTGACTTAGAAAATTTTTTCAATTTTTTGAAAATTTTTTCAATTTTTTGAAAAATTTTCCATGTTAAATTCGGACTTAGAAAATTTTTTCAATTTTTTGAAAAATTTTCCATGTTAAATTCGGACTTAGAAAATTTTTTCAATTTTTTGAAAAATTTTCCATGTTAAATTCGGACTTAGAAAATTTTT